TTTGTATTGGGCCTGATGTGGTAGCCTAGTGGCTAAAGTCCTCACCTTGTACATGCCAAGATCCCATATGGCACTGGCTCATGACCCAGCAGCCCTGCTTCCCAGCCAGCTGCCTGGTGGTAGCCTGGGAAAGCAGTCGTGGATGGCCCAAAGCCTTGTGACCCTGCACCCATGTGGGAGACCTGGAAGAATCTCCTGGCTCCTGGCTTTGGATTGGCACGGCTTTGGCTGTTAGGGCTGCTTAGGGAGTGAATCATCAGAACATCATCCTCCATCTCTCCTCCTCTCTGTATATCTGACTTTCCAATAAAAGCTAAATCTTAAAAGAAAATCTTTATGGCATACAATGTGATACTTTGATAAACTGCATTGTGGTCACTACAGTTAAGCTAATTAACCTAGCCATTATTTCATATTTTTTAGTGGATAACCTGCCCTGCCACTACGTTCAAGACCAAAACTTGAAGGAAAAGCCAATATGTCCTTCCGGTGCTGGGGCTTTAGGACACATAAGCAGGAGAAATCTATTTGTGTGAGGGAGGTCAGCAAGGAGGGCTAAAAGCTTCTAAACCCTCTCCATCAGAAGAGATTAGATTGGCAACTGAACAGAGCTTTAATCATTAGGCAAACTTCTCTTTAGGAATAAAAGCCCGTTCAATCAGATACGTGTCCACGCTTCTGACTAAGAGAAAAGAGCCACTGAAAAGCAGGCACATGGATTCCTGGAGGCACTTATTTATCACACGAAACTGACCTTTCTCCCCCTGCCACGGATAAGAACAGCGCTCTGTGGTCAGATCATTGGATCAAGTGCTGTCTGGGCTGCTGAGTGAAAAGGCCGTAAAAGGAGACTGTGTTTCCCTGAGTTCCAGAGTCTAGGAACTCGAAGACCAAGGCCCTGAGGTGGTTGATGCCTGGCCAGGGTCCTCACAACACAGAAGCGAGGCAGCCCCCTGGATCTTTCACAAAGGCACTTGTCCTTCCAATGAGCACTCCACCCTCATGACCTCATCCTGGGAATTGTGCTTCAAAATAGGAGTGTTGTGAGGGACACGAACATTTAACACAAGCACTTTCTTAGAGGCTTTAGCGATGACAGTAGCACACATTTATGAAGAATGACCAATCCCAAGCCTCAGGGTTTACACTTAATTTCTTTGTTTTCAGAGTAGTAACATTGTTATTATCTCCAGTCTTGTTATTGAAGATGGAGGATTCATGTTTGCCCTAGCTCAAAGAATACAGGAAGTCTCAGAACTCCAACGTAGGCAACCCAAGTTTAGAATATAGTAATTAAACTTGAACTCTATTGATTAGTAAACTTTTTTTAAAATATAAGATCTCTAAATTGGTACCATGCCATATTTTCATTAGGAGTGCTTTTCTCTTTTAGTAATACATAAAATTTTGGTTCATCTTACAGTTCTTTTGTGTCTTTAGACTCCATAAATATAATCCAATGCTAATGGCCTCTACCGACTGCTCAGGCATGTGTAATTAGCTGAGAGAATGGGGACTGACATAGTAAACTGTATCAGGGCAGAAGCTTTCCAACTTTCTCACAGAATAACATTATGCAAACAAAATCTGACGTAGAACTTCAATATGTAAAGCAGAGGAAAGTGGTATTTTATTAGTATATATGCACTTTGTGATGAAACACATGCATTTATTAAATGATTAGTCAGTTACACATTGCAGATTTTTAGACTGAATTACCTCTTGAATGTGCTGAATTTTTAAAACTAGTGCTTTAAACATTTGGGAAGACACATTTAATCCATATCAGATCAAATATAGAGGAAACCAGGTCATAGTTCTGTGAATTCACAGCTGGCAAAGCGCTCTTCAAGGTGTATCACTGCATGAGAATTTTCTTAATTGGGCCAGTTCACTCAAGTCCCTCTTACGTGCTGGACGTTATCTCTTTGGAAGTTGTTTAAAATGACTTGACTATTCAAACAATAGCCTGCAGGAATCATGGAGCTTAAGCAAACCCAAAGAAATATCTACTTGAAGTTGTTTGGCTTCCTCAGGCTTCCTGCTTCCATCCTCAGCCGTTCAGTGGCATAACAGGACTTCCTGGTACCAGTCTACGTGATTGGGATCTAACTGACAAGTTACTAACCATACAAATCCAGGAGAGCTGTTGAGCTTTGAGTTCGTATGTGTAGAGAGTACTAGCAGTTTATTTTATAACTGTTTTAAAGAACAAATTAGATAATAGAGACGTGACTTACAGCAGGTTATTCAGAAATTAAGTTTTTATAGTTATTCTGGTATCTCTACAGAGGGTAAATTTTACTATGGTTGGGAGTGGGGATAGAAGGTTTCTTAAATTGCGATATCTGATATCTCAAAGATCTCATTTATCTTTAGAAGATTGAAAGCTAGCGTAACAGTCAAAAACAAGATCTGGCATTGTGGCACATCAGGTTAAGCCACCACTGGCATGCTGACATTCCATAGTAGAGTATAGGTTCAGGTTTTGGCTGTTCACTTCCAACTCAGTCTTCTGATCCTGAGCCTACGAAGGCTGCAGAGGAAGGCTCAAGTCAGACTAGCATGGAGTTCCTGATTCCTGGTTTAAGCCACGCCCATACGTGATTGTTGCACCTGCGCCAGTGGAGGGGGCATGGGGGTCTTTCTCTCCCTTTGATTCTGTCACTAAGTACATGTTTTTTCTTTTTAGTCAAAAAGAATTAAATGTTACAGACTTGGGTAACATAAAGTAAGCACTTTATTTTCAAATTATGTTTATTAAGCAAGTTTTTAAATCCTATGGCCATGTTAAAGATATGATGGAAACTGCAATTTGGGATTGGAGAAAACCCATCTAGATGGATGATGTGCTGCTAGTGTTTCGTAGTGTTTAGAACGGTTGTGAACTAGCTTTTCAATATCAGTCTGTTTCATAAAATCTGTATATTGGTTTTTTTTCTTGTCTCTTTGAACTAAGAAAGCTTTCACACTTGTTGCACTTTTAATTCTGTAAGCCAACAGTCAAACATTTGGGACCTAGTACTGGTTGTCCTTTTAAAAAGTGAACTATTCTCTGCTTGCAGACCTTATACCTCAGCACAGCTCCTCTGATAGTGTGGTTAATTCACAATTCTACAAGCTTTTCACTTGTACCGTTATTTCTCTAACAATTAAAGGTTTTCTCTACCTCTTCTTTGTGGACATAGAGTATAAGTGCAGTTTTACCAAGCAGGAATATCTCTTGCTTAATTTGTTTTACTTGCATGTCGTCTCTACCTGTTCTCTACATACTACTGATTCTTGCTTCCAAATGCTTTATGTCAAGTTGGATACATAACGGTACTTGAAGAATGCTTCACTGGAATAAAGTATGTACGGGGATAAGTGATTTAGGAACGAAACAACTGTTGCAGGAATTGAAGGAGGGTATTCATAATGTGGGATAAAGTTTCAAAGGGGAAGATGAATTTTGAAGGAAACACATGCCTGGGATAACAGGATGCCTCTTGGGCAGGTAAGAGCCTAAACTATTGAATATAAATAGCTGTCTGGTAGACTTGCCATATGTATTCAGTCCCCAAATGCATTCGTATCACTTCCCTGCTTAGACTCTCAGTGGTTCCCTTTGTCTTCAAACGAAATGCAAGCCCTAGAATGACTTCGGAAACCCTTCATGGTGTGGCTCCTGGCTGACTTCCAAGGCTTGTCTGGGCAGCCCAGTCTCCCTCCTCTCCCCCTGTGAGCTCGCCATGTTGAGGGCTTTATTGGTCTCTCGGAGCACTGAACAGTTAGTTATGTGTTTTGAATGTACTGTTTGTTCAGACTTACCTCTTGCCCCACCCTGCTGTTGTTGCTTCTGAGAAAACTTCTCTGACACTGTCTCCCTCCTAGGCGGAGTTTCAAGTGGCTTTGCTGAGTTCACATAGTGCAGTGAATGGGCCTGCGTCTTAAACCTGTTCCAATGGACTCTCATCTCCTTGACCAGAGGACCTAGAGTGGGGCTCTCTGGAAAACACAGTAAGGCTTGTTCAAGGGAGGAGTCAGTTGTGCGAACTGGATGAGCCAATAGAAACTGAACTAAGCTGGAGGCCAGGGCTTCCTTGTCCCTCAGGGATTTAAGCCAACTAACTGATCATGAACTTGGCGGAAATTCCAGAGCCTCTCCATGATTTTCAAAATTTGACACTTCCTGAAGCAACTGTTTTTCAACCTTCCAGTTGTCACATGTTACTCTTTGCTTACATCCCACACATCCCTGGAGGCAGCTCTCAGACTCTCCATCAGCTTCCATGAAAGATCTTCTAGAAACAGCTTTGTGGTGTTGTATTTATTTCATTGAAAGTTTAAGAGATCAAGAGGCTCATGCATATAAAACATTTTGTTCATAATTGTCTCTAATGCTTGTGTTATTCTGACTCTATCAGAGCATAGTTGTAAGCAAATGTGATCACCTTTCTAAGGATAAAGAAGGTATCTACTGTTAATGCAATGGCATGTTTACATCATAAGTGCACATTGATCCTAAGCATTTTTCCTGGTATATTTCTATTAACCTGCTGCTATTCTACTCTGTGGAATGATGCAAAATTAGTTTCTTCAAGATTTTTAAATCTACCATGTAATGGTATTTTACTAGCCAGATATCCCCAGTGTTTTTAACCTAAGATTAGATACTCTCAGAAGTATGTTGATAGGTTTTCATAGTGATATTTTTGAGAATTTTGATGTGTAAACCTTTCTTCAAGGTTACTCTAATTTAATCCTTTGAAATATAAGCGCCTGTGGCCTTCATGTGGAGGAACACTTTTGGAGACAAGAAAAATGGATTATCTCACCTGACTTATTTACATGAAGTAAAAAAACAGGTCACAACCTTTTTATTTAAGCTGATCAACTTAATTATCTTTTTTGGAAGCAAGCATTTGCAATGTTTTCTGTGGTTTTTGCTGTAATTTCCTGCCAAAGGGGGATGTGGAGGCGGAGGGTGAGGGGAGGGGCGGTTGAGTTTTGGCATCAAATTCTTCAGTCCAGCTGCTCTCTTGTCGATGACCTTACTGCACTGCACCCAGACTAAGTCAAGGTCCCCATAATGAGCAAACCAAATTACAGGTATGTAATTTTCACAAGCTTCTGCCAGGATCTCCAAGCTAGTGACAAATTGCTACACTACTCTCTGTACGGAAGGCTGCTTTCAGAAAACAGGCCACTCTCGGGCAAAATGCAGTACCTGGAGGGTTGTGCAATTTCAAACCTCTAAAAATAAAATGAATCCTTCTGCCCTATCTCTTATAGCGAATGGAACTGTAAGCATATTTGCTTAAACTTGGAAGATCATGCAAGAACAACAGAATTTCAGAAAACTCTTCAGGATCCAGGAACCATGGGACAGCAGCTAACAGTGGGAAGATAATGTGGGTCCTGGGGTCACAGTCTCCAATTGTGAATTTCATTATGCAGTCTTCTACCTTTTAAATGTTGACATTAGGCAATGACTCCCAGCTAATTATGTACGTTTTGGGAAGGTAATTTTCTAAAACAATCATGAAAAAAATAGTAATCCTAAAGTCATGGAAATAACTGAGCCTTTTGGAAACTTTCCCTTGTGTTAAGTTCAGACCTAAACATTTCCCATGCATTTCAGTTATTAGTTCCTCACAGTAGCTTCATGAGTTAAGGATTATTATTGCTCCTACTTTGCAGTGAGACATCTCTAACAGAAAAGGCTTGTAGTTTGTGCAAAGTTGTGGTCAATAAATGGAAGGACCAGCGGTCAGACCAGGTACACTGTCCCCAGAGCTGTCGTGCTCAGTCATGGAATTGGGTCTTGCTAAGTAACAGTGTTATTTTCCACAGGAGCCAAAAGATTTTGTGTATTCCTAACCAAGGACTTATCTCTGAGCAAAACATAATATCACTATTGTTAGAAAGTGAAGATACAATGAAATGAATTTTAGTACGGAGAGTAGGAAGTCAGTTTGTAATCTTTGATATCTGCTCCCAAGAATGGCAGAAATTGGCTCTAACCCTGCAGTGATTATTTGGGCTCAAGGTTAAGCATGAGAATTTATACCTCTTACATTTCTCCAGCTGATTTTCATGATATCAGGAGATCTCATGGGTTACTGGGAAATAGGCATGAAATCAAGGCTAGAATAAAGGGCCACTAACCATCTCAAAGAGAAGAGCAAATGACAAGGAGAAACGATGCAGAGAAGATGGCTTGCAAGGGGAAGCAGCTGGGTAGATAAAGGTTGGTTAGCTACTCAGGAAAGAAAAAGGGTAGGACAGTATTTTCTGGACCCTGGGACATTTATTTAGAGAAATTAGTCAATGTTAAACATTTATTGCATATTTACCATTTGTGGTGAGCAAAGAATATGCGCAAAAGAATGTAGTGGTTAGAGCAAAAGATGAGAGCAGCCGGTGTTCGGATTGGCCACATGGCAGAGGAGGAGCAGAGTTGGGGACATCACAGGCTCTGTTCCCAACTAACAGACTCTAAGGAGGAGATTGGCGGGCAGAGTGGTGATTAGAAAATGCACTGGAGACACACACCTGCAGAAAGTCGGGGAACAGAGTGAATTGGTCAGTAATTTGGATCTGTAAATAGAACAGGAAAAGGAATTCTAAAATGGTAGTAGCTCATGAAGCGGACACAAAAATGGGCAGGATCCCTCTATTTTTCCACAATTGGAAGAATGGAAATTGTGTGAGATTGTGTCAGACGCCTGCTTTTTTGTGAACGTCTAACCACCTGTCTTTAGAACATCACCACCTCTTTCTTCTCCCCTGTGACTTCCCTCTCCACCATCCTACCATCCTCGGGGACTACAGAGTTTCTATCACTCTCACCTCAATGTCAGAAACACAGCATTTACCCTAGCCTTGAAGCTATCCGAAAGGGTAATTCATGTGTTCATGTAGGGTGATTCTACATATCTGCTCATGACTGAAATATTGGTATTATGGCTGATATTAATAAGTATATTGGATGCTACTTGCAAAATTACATTTATTGTGACTTTGCCCTCAGTATGTTCTTGAAACCAGGTTGGAAGAAAAGTAGCTGCAAGGGCAAGTGGAACTAAAGCAATATGAAGTGTGTTACATTTGTTGTACATCTTTATTGTACGTCTCTGAGAAGCACGTCCACTGCTCCAGGCACTTGCCCTGCTGCAGTCACCTTCAAAAGCACGGAGTTGGTTTGTACAGGTAAATGTGTACACACAGACCTGAATTCTTGTGATTCACCTGTTTGGTTCAACCATTCCAAGGGCAGTACGCCAAAAACATCAGAGTAGTCCTAAGGAAAACCAATGTGAAAAACTTATTATGAAAACCTGTATCTTTTTTTAAAGATTTATTTTTATTACAAAGTCAGATATACAGAGAGGAAGAGACTGGAAGATCCTTCCGTCTGATGATTCACTGCCCAAGTGAGTACAATGGCTGGTGCTATGCTGATCCGGAGCCAGGAACTTCTTTGAGGGCTCCCACATGGGTGCAGGATCCCAAAGCATTAGGCTGTCCTCAACTGCTTTCCCAGGTCAAAAGCAGAGAGCTGGATAGGAAGTGGAGCTGCTGGGATTAGACCGGTGTCCATATGGGATCCTGGCGTGTTCAAGGTGAGGACTTTAGCCGCTAGGCCACACCGCCAGGCCAGAAACCAATATTTCTTTAAAGCAACATGCAACAACATAAGACTAATAGTAATAACTAGACAAAGAGCAGCTTTTTAAAAATGTTTTTATTTAAAAGGCAAATTTTACACAGAAGAATACAGAGACGGAGGAGAGAAATTTCATGTTGGTAGTTCTTAAATGGCCAGAGATGGGACAGTCCAAAGTTAGGAGTCAGGAGCTCCTTCATCTCTTCCATGTGGGTGCAGGAGCCCAAGAATCTGAGCTGCCATCTGCTGCTTTCCCAGGTCAGGAGTAAGGAGCTGGATCAGAAGTGGAGCAGCCAGAACACGAACAGGCACCAGTTTGGGATACTGGCTTCTCAGGCAGAGGGTTAGCATACTATTATGCCACACCAGTCCCAAATGATACCATTTATGGAGCGCTTTACATTGCAGATACTAACCATCATAATACACACATATATATGCATGTACATAACTGTATTCTGAGTTCTTTCCTAAGTGTATCTGCACACACGAGTGGATCTTCCAGAGTTCAAGGCAAATGAATACTGTGAATTATATACAGATTTATAATTTCTTTGCACCAAAAGCATATGTGTCTTTTGATTCCATCTGATGTCCATGAGTTTGAGGTAGCCTCATATGTATAATCTAATTTAGGACAGTCTCCCTACTGATTGTTTTCATTGCTCTTGGGACTTGATTCACACACATATGTATGGAATGAGTTCTGTCATGACTCCTGCAGAGAAGTGGGACAAGGACATGGGTGTCCTGGATCCCATGGTTAATGTGCAGAAGCCATGACTCACACCCAGTCTGGCTGCTGAGCCCGTGCTCTTAATCAGCAGCTAAAATAGATTTACAGTGACCTCGGACTACAAGTGTGTGTGTGTTTCCCCCTTGTTTCCTAACACCTACAGCAACAAAGCAGCCTTGGCAGTGTAGTCCTGGTGCATAGGAGGCCAGGCGAATGTGAGTTGAGAAAAACAGTTGCCCACTCTGCACAGTTGATTGGCCCCAGTTCCTTGATTTAGTGTGGCCCGACCTACCATTTTTCAGCATCTACCTGCAAGGAATGGAGCAACATCATGCCTCCCCAAATTCCTGTGGCTAAGTAAACTCCACCCTGTCTTCTTGCTTTTCTCCCTCCCCCCTTGACCCTTCATGCTTATGTATCTATATAAAACTAATAAAAACTTGAACAGGAAATAGAAAATCACCATGAAACCAAACCGAACCTGCAGCCAGACCTCAGAGGGCTCTGTGCAATCAGAACTGTGTGAAACTATTTTCTGGGAGCTGTAAACCTAATAGCTTGCTCTGTTCGAGGCACAGCTGCAAGACCCCTGGGACAGATATGCCCCTTGTTGGAAAACACAAGGGCTGACAAAATTATTTTCACAGAATTTCTTCTTTAATATTTTCCCCGCTACCTCAGGCACTCCTTCCCCTCTGCCCTACTTAGCTGAATACCTGGAGTCTGGGGGAAGCAATAGTGAAGGAATAATGAGTGTTCTCCCATTATTATTTATTATTGATGAATATGAAATTATTCTGATTGTATTTTTTATTTGATAAATCATTTTTAAAAGCTCTTCATTAAATTAGCAATATCTTTGTAATTCTCTGGGGGGGTTGTGTGTGTGTGTGTGTGCATGTGTGGGAGAAGGGGACACTCATCCAGAGTTTGTGGCCTTAATTATGTCACAGGAATATCCTCTTGCTTCTAAGGGCCGTTGTTTATACACAGGACAGTCTCACTAGTATTAGCACACAATGCTGTGCCCACCTCATGCAGCAATGGTCCCCCCGGACTTGTTAGCCCATGCTCACCAAAGTCCATTCTTCCTTGCACGCACATTCTTGAATAATTGTGTTTAGCTTCAGATACTAGGGGATCTACCGATGTATTAAGTTTGTTGTCTTTATGAAAGGAATTGAATACCCCTTTTGTATGGTTTATATTGCTATTCCCTTGAGCATTAATACTTTGAGGTCAGCCTAGACAGGTTCAAATCTTGCTTGGTTGATTACTACATGTATAAAATAGCATTGAGCAAATCTTTCAATGTCCCTCATGAGTCTCTTCAATCACAAATATACTCAGCAGTACACATAACCTTAATAAGTATTTGCCACATAGTTGGTCCTGATTCATGTATTAACTCATTTTCATATCATCATGCAAAAAGAGGCGCAATGAGCATCACATTCAAGGGAAGAAAGGCTGAAAGTCCTGCTTACGGTCACACACACAGTAAAGGAAGCAGGGAAATTTATTCATGAGGGTTTATGACTCGGGAGCCCTTGATTTTAACTACTACTTATGCCTTCGCAACTGTAGGATCATTATGAAGAGGAAGAGAAATGACAAACTCCCCAGCAGTCCACACTCTGGATCTGAGATATGAAGCAGTGGATGTCATTTTCTTCCATTTGAATCACTGGGCTATAATCTGTT